ACCATCTATGCTCGAACGGGAATAGTAAAGACTTTTAGGGGTTTTTATTCGAGTAAATAAATCAAAGTAAGATAAAACAAGAAGAGTAAAGTTGTTTAGGGGGTTTTAAAGTTATATAGATGCATAAAAGTAAAGATACGTTATTGAACAGGAAAGCATAGTCAACTAGTCAAGTACTATCACAAATACCAATACTCATTCATATCATGCATCAATGGCTCATCTATAGCATCACTATATCCTTATACTAAGATCATCCTATCCGACCTTTTGCCAGATGCAATAGGAACTTGACTAGCTAATGCGTGCTTTCACTTCATGCCATCACCTAATCAATGAAGAATAGAGAATTGAGGATAGCACATGATTAAGTGTAAGCCTCTTGATCCATAATCGTCGATGATCTAGCAATCAAGCATTAATACTAGTCGAGGTATAGATTGTTGATCATTCCCTCTATACTCGTGTAGCATAAATGGGGTATCACTAGATGGTAATTTCTTAACAACCTAGATTATACTAAGCACGATGCATATAGTAGCATACTATAGAGTCACAAGTATTGATGATAAGAAAGCATTCATACTAGATAAATAACAATGATCATCCCATAAGCATCAAAACAAAAGCATCTATGCATACATCATAAGCATCAAAATTCATAAGCATAAAAACAATCATCATATGAAATCATAGCATAAATACATACAAAGATAAACGAGTTCACATTCTCACAATTTTGAACTAGTTGTACATAGAAGAGAAGGATAGGAATGTCAATGGGGCAGGTCTGGGGCGGGTATCTTGATACCGATACCCGTCCTGTGGCAGGTCAGGTCCAGGTAGGATAATTTATCATGGGGCGCGGGTCGGGGCATGTCAACCCAATGGATATGTAATTTATATGGAAAATATTAGAAATATTCATAATTTCATTATAAGACCAAAAAACAAACCATAATATGATAAATGTAGTTAAGTTAATAGAGAAATTGAGGTTTTCACTCATTTACAACTTTATTAAATCTAAAATATGTTGTAATAAATGGAAAAATCTAAGTAATTTGTCTGAGATTACATGTAATTTAGGAAAAACGGGTCAAGAACATGTCAGGTCAGGTCAATGATAATACCCATGCTCGCCCCACCCTGCCTATGGGGTGAGTCAAACCTACCCCAAAACAAGCCAAACAGGTCGGGTAAAATGGGTCAGGTTGAAGTTGCCATCCCTAGAGAGTACCACCATCTTTGATGAAGGCATCTCATTAGTTGCAACCTCTCCTACAAGTAATAAGCTCCCACTCTAGCATAGTATCTGCAAAAGTTTTGAATGGAATTGTGCAGCCAACAAAACTAATGAGTCTAGCTCCCTGCTTATAGTGACAGAACTCGGCCAAAACCTTCCTAAATATACTAGGGCACTGTTTCTTTGACTTGGAGCCAAAGTATGGCCTTAAGATATCTTGTTTCAGCTTGGGCCTTTGAGAAGCAGTGGGCGGCGATTACACCCGACGTTGGTTTTCTTCGTGGGTTGGACTCATTGGCTCGCAAACAACCTCTTCTGAAGATTTCATCATGATTTATCCAGGTTTTCTTAGGCAGTAGTTGTACTCAACGATGTATCGCCTCTGGTTCTTGCTTCTGCTTAGGCTGAGTCTTCCTTTGGGCTCCATTTGGGCTCTACTCGTGGTTACTAGTAGGCTTCTCCGTCATTGGACCTCATCTTTAACATGAAAGATTCATATTCTTCTATTTATAGCTCTTTTGATCTTAGAGAGTCATCCAATGTTTGAACCAAATCCTCCTAGGTTGCTTTGTACCTTGAAAATCATAAAAAACATACCGATAATGGATCAAATACAAAACCAAGGTTCGAGAAGGAGCTATGTGTAAGCAGGGCATTAAGACCTTGCCTAAGCGTGCCTAAGTGTAGCCTAAGCGTGCCTAGGCGTTGGAAGAAGAATAGCTATTTGCATTGAATAATGAATGAGATAACAATTCACAATGCTTCCCAACTTCAATTAAAATGATAAATAACTTACTTAACACTTAACACTTAACAATATGAAAATAACTAAAAAATTCATAGAATTGTAGCTCAATAGCTCACGAAGTGCTTGAGCTATTAGAATTATCGGCATAGAAAATATATTTCATAGTTGATGTTAATTTCCTTCTTTAAAATTGACAGCCTTGCTCCATCTAATTATGTCTAGGAGTCAATAAAAAAATTATGTCTAGGAGTCACTTATGTGTCACCTTACTTCGTTACTAGGAGCGGAACCCCTCGGCAAGGTCGTACAATGAATCGTCGATGGCCTGTACCAAAATTGAGATGTGGCCCAAATTAATTTTTAACAATAATAAAATTAATATGATTATATCATAATTATTTGAAATTTAATAGCTTTCTAAGTGGTTAACTAAAAGATCTAAGTGGAGGCCCCTAATAATCGAAGGCCCTCTGTCAGAGGGCCGCTTGGCACACTCTCTAGGCCGGGCCTACCCCTCGGTGGGGCGCTTACACGTGCCTAAGCGTAAGGTTAAGGGCACCTTTTTAAACCATGAAAAAACACAATCTAAGTCAATTAAATGCCATTTGATCAAAAGTTATGATTTATGTATGAAATACAAGAGAAAATACTAAAGATACATTGATAGAAGAGGAAATGTATCAAATGTGGGAATGATAAACACTATAGATAGAGTGTTATCGGGCAAAAAACTTGAAATGACTATGGACGAGGGAAAAATTCATTCTTAGAGACCTGACATACCCAGAAGGAAGAAGTGAGGCAAAGAACCCAAACCCAGGACTGGGATTTCGATGGAGGCATCAATCACCACCTCAAATTCGAGCTCCCCTTATTTCCCCTAATTTCTAGGGTTTAGGGGAGGCATCAATCTGTTCTTCTTTCTGAGTAACATGAGTTCAACGAGTGTAGAGAAGGAGGAGGAACTCCTCGCCTTGATAGGAACTTTGCTAGCGAGAATCATCGTCTTCGCTTGGAAGAAGGAGGAGCTCCTTGTTCAGAATCGTCGTCCAGCCAAAACAACTCCCTGCTCGTTTCTTTTATGCATATGAAGAGGAGAGGAGAGATGAGATGGATGAGTGGAGGGGAAGTGAACAGAAGAGGAGAGTAAGTAGATCGGAGAGGCAAATAAAAAATCAGTAGAGATGAGAAGCATCGTTGGAAGGGCCGAAGATTCTAGTCAGGGGAGATAAGAAAGAAAAATGGCGTCAGTGGAAATGAACTGGATAGGAGGGATATTGATTGGAATAATAAAAAAATAAGATATATGAAATAGCTGAGGGACATCGAATATTTTCAACCCCCTAAAGGGCAGGTTTTTAGAATCTCTTATGGTCAAAATCCTTGTGTTTTTTAAGCCTTCCCAAATGCAAAAATTCAGTTAAATTCGGAAAGCCCATGAATTGTTACAAACTCTTGCCCCCAAATTCTTAATCCAAACGACCTTTAAATGAATGTAGGCATATATAATATATATTAAACTAATCTCTAAATCTACATACATGTGTTTAAATAAAAGACAACATTCCGAAAAAATGAAAAATCATCATATTTAAATAAAATATTTAATGCCAACATCCAAAAGTTTATACTTGAATCCAACAAATATCATAAACATTCCTACTTGAATCCAAATAATAAAATTATTATTTAAATTTTCAAATTCAAGAAACAAATCAAAAATTATTATTTTTTAATTAAATTCACCAAAACGACATCAATTTGTTTAGAGTTCGGAATAGATTATATCGATATCATCCAACCAGTTTTATAACGAATATATGTTGACCCTGATTGTACCATTAGTCATGAAGCGAACAAGGGCTTAGTCCAGTGGTATTACCACTGATCTTGAACCTGGAGGTCATAGGTTCGAATCCTTTAATTATCACATAATTGTAAAAACAAAATCTATATCACCCTTATAAAAAAAAGATAATATCCATGATATGATAGTGACATGAGCGTGATGTCAGTCTTACTACAATGGTAAGATCATGGTATGACACTGGTAAGATGATATTATGAAATAAAATGATTGCGCTATGATCTTGGTATGACAATGATAAGATAATATAAAATTATATCTTTCGGAAAAAAAAATCTTATAACATCGTACCACTGTCATATTTCACTAATATCGTAGAGATGATATTATGATATGACAGTATTATGATAGTCAGCCAGTCTTACCATAGTGTTACACCAAGTCATTCAATGAACAACTCATATATATATATATTCCCTTTAGCTTATATGTGTACATCCAAATTAAAGAAAGCAATTGATCGGAAACCCTAGAATGCTCTCAAACGCTCTGAACGAGAATCCTCTCCCAGCGCCGACCCTGTTCCCTTCTGATCGGCCGCCGGACATTGCTATCTCCATTGGTGACCCCTCTCCCTGCTCCAATCTTGAAAAGACGATCATCTCCGACACTGACATGATTGTCGAGTCACCTGAGGCACAACCACAACCGAATCGAGTCCTGGAGATCTCTCTGGCCGCCCAGATACCTCAGTCGGGCGATCCCCTGCCTCTAATCTCGTATGCTTCAGCGGTTACGGTGCTTAAAAGCCCTATTGCTTCACAACCAGCGACTAGCCTCTGGACCTCGGTGGGCGAGAACGATCTCATCCCGAGGGAGCGGAACGGAGAACCGGCACTGAAATCTCGACGGAGTTCAAGAACCGGATCTGTGCACCATGGCAAAGAGCTCTCGTCGTAAGGCTTCTTTGCTGCAAGATTGGCTTTTCCACTCTTTGTTCACTGTTACGCTCTCTTTGGCGGCCAGTTGGCTCCATGGAAGTCATGGATCTTGATTTCGATTGCTTCTTGGTGAAACTCGACAATGAGTAGGATTACTTTCGCGCGCTGACTGACGGACCGTGGGTGATCTTTGATCACTACCTTGTGGTCCAACAATGGACCCCCAAGTTCAAGGTGTCAGATCCGCTGCCAAAGAAGATGATTGTTTGGGTTCAATTGCCGGCCCTAAAAGTCCATTTCTATCACAAGGAGGTCTTGATCACCCTCAGCAACTTGATCGGTCACACGATTAAGTTGGACTTTCATACTTTAAACCGACAACGTGCTAAGTTTGCCCGATTGGCGGTAGAAGTTGATCTGGGAAAACATCTTGTTCCGAGAATATGGCTAGATGAAGAATGGCAGAAGGTGGAATATGAAAACCTTCCAACGGTGTGCTTTGAATGCGGAAAAATTGGGCATATGTCGACAGAGTGTCCACAATTGCTTCCTCCGGTCGCTCCCGCGATCGGTTGGGCGTCAGGTGGGGCGGCGACAGCTAGCACGCCGGCGAAGGAACCAGAGGAGCACCTAGGTTTCGGACCATGGATGCTGGTCAGCCGGAAAAGTAGGCGTGATCCTCGTGTGGGTACTGGTAAGGGAAAGTCGAATCTGGGAAATGGCGGGGTGATTCCTACACCTATGATCAAAAAAGGAAAGGAAGGTGCGATATCAAAGGAGACCGACCATCATGCCAATAGCAGCAAGTCTTCCCATATTTCGAAGCCCCAAGAAGGGAAAGGAGGCAACGGGAAGAAAAGTGGGGAAGAGGTGAGGAAAGGTAAAGAGAAGGCGGTTTTTATTCCCGCCAGGACAGACAAGGGCCTCCTTGGGCCAGGGCCAAATAATCAAAACATGGCGGGCCTTGGTGTTAAGCCCACGAAAGCCTCCAATATAGCCTCCTCGTCAACCAACCCCATTAGCCCCCAAGGACCCTCTAAGTCTGGGCCATTAAAGAGTGGGGAGACTGCTAGATCCTCAGCCCCAAAGCCAGCCTCGGCCACCAGCTCAATTCCCCAGCCCATCCATGTGATTAGCGGCCCAAATAGGACCACAATGCATATTATGGAAGTTCAATCGCCTGAGTAGAAGAGTCGGGACTCCATAGTGACGAACACTCCTTCAACGCGAGCAAGAACGAAAAAATCCAAATCCGGGAAGGAGCGCGTGAAGAAAACTTCACCGACAAAATTCAACCCTCTGAAGCAGCTGCAAATATGGTCGCCCATGAAGGACAAGAGATCAAAATCCAAGTCTCGCATTGCCTCGCTTACTCTTCAAGAGATCACCGCATGGACAGAGGCAAAAGCTCAAAGACCCGCCGAGTGGGCAACTGCGGATAAGCTTAAAGAGATAGCGCCTGGCCAGGACGAGGAGACGATCTCCTCAGCTACACACGCCTAGCGTCTCCATTTCTCTCTTCTCTCCCTTCTCCCTTTCTTTTTTCGCTTATATATGTCTATGTCTTACAACCAGAACATTACAATTTTTGTTTGGAATGTGGGTGGTGCAGGTAGCAAACCCTTCGCCCGAGCATTGAGACTGGCGCTTCAGCAGCATCGGCCAGATTTTTTGATTCTCCTCGAACCACAGATCAGTGGGGAGAACACCAATTCAGTCTGTGATAAGTTGGGGTATCCTAATTCGATCAGGGTGGAAGCGGAGGGTCGCAAGGGTGGGATTTGGATCTTTTGGGATGCTGGGCTGTTTTCGGCTAACATTGTTTCTACTTTCAGTCAGCATATTTCACTGCAAATCTCGAGTGGCGGTGGCGCTCCTTGGATTCTGACGGCAGTGTACGCCTCCCCTCGTAGTGGTATGCAGAAAGGCCTGTGGGAGTGTTTGATTGAGCAGAGCAAGAGGATCGATATTCCTTGGATCTTGTCAGGGGATTTCAATGCAATTAGGTCTCCCGACGAGAAGTCTGGCCCTTCCTCTAGCTATACCAATCGCCGTTGTCGTCTTTTCAATGACAGGATCAACCTAGCTGAACTCGTCGATCTGGGTTTCTCCGGTCCCAAGTACACCTGGACGAGAGGCGAGCAGGACAACTCTTACAAAGCCAGCCGCTTGGATAGAAGTCTCTGCAACCTGTATTGGAACACCTCTTTCCCCAATACGTTTGTAGTCCACCTCCCTCGGATTCAGTCAGATCACAGTTCCATCCTGACTTCAGTCACCAGTCAGGGAAGTTCCCCTGCTATCCCCCGTCCTTTCAAATTCGAGGCGGCTTGGTTCTCCCACTCTAATTTGCAGAGTTTCGTTACAGAATATTGGGATCAGAATGTGCCTCTTCATAATGCCCTCTCTTTGCTTGCAGGCAAGCTTCATGAGTGGAACAAGAGTGTCTTTGGAAATGTTCAGCAGAATAAGCGGAGACTTCTAGCTCGCCTGCAGGGAATTGAGGCTCGGCAGGCTCTGTCTTTCTCGCCGGGCCTGGCTAAACTTCACTCTAAGTTGGAGAAGGAGCTTGACAAGGTTATGTAACAAGAAGAGATCCTCTGGTTTCAAAGAACTAGAGAGAGTTGGGTCAAGTTCGGGGAGCGCAACACTTCATACTTCCACCAGCAGGTTAATTAGGAGGAGACACAATAAAATCGAGGCTCCGCAGGATGTGAATGGAGCTTGGGTAACCGATCCCCAGGAGCTAGCTGCTTTAGTTTTCGGCTTTTTTGCTAACCTCTGTTTGCAGGATGAGACCTAGTACGAAGACTGGATGCCCAAGAACTCTTTTCCCCGTATCAGTCAGACAGAGCTAATGATGCTGCTTCAGCCCTTCAATATTCAGGACATCCATAAAGCTTTGTTTGACATGAAACCCTTCCAAGCCCCGGGTCTGGACGGGTTCCAGGCAATCTTCTATCAGCAGCTTTGGAAGATCGTGGGCAAGAGCCTCTCTGATATGGCGGTTAACTTCTTTTCGACAGGAGTCCTTCTGGAAGCGGTGACATAGTCCACACTGGTTCTGATACCAAAAGTGGAGAGACCGGAGTTTGTGAGCCAGCTCAGACCGATCTCCCTCAACAATGTCAGCTTAAAGGTGATCACCAAGGCTCTAACCAGTAGGTTGAAACCGCTCATGAGGAAGCTCATATCCCCGTGCCAAAGTAGTTTCATCCCGGGAAGACAGACAACTGACAACATCATAGTGGTTCAAGAGGTCCTTGACTCGCTGCACAAGAGGAAAGGCATGAAGGGAGGGATTGTACTCAAGATTGACCTTGAGAAAGCCTATGACAGACTGAGATGGGACTTCCTCAGAGACACTCTTAAGGAGGTGGGACTCCCCAACTCGTGGATAAGCGGCATCATGCATTGTGTTGAGCAGAACAGGATGCGCATTCTGTGGAATGGCCAGCTCTCTCAACCTATCTCCCCTTCAAGGGGCGTCCGCCTGGGAGATCCTCTTTCTCCTTATCTCTTTGTCCTCTGCATGGAACGATTATCTCATTTGATTGATGAAATTGTTGCTAATGGCAGATGGAAAGCTCTTAGACTTTCAAAAAATGGCCCGCCTCTCACTCATCTATTTTTTGCAGACGATCTTCTTTTGTTTGCAGAGGCTGAGACTAGACAAATCAAGATTATCAAGGATTGCTTGGATGAGTTCTGTTTTAGCTCCGGCCAAAGAGTAAACTACCACAAGTCCATCTTGTATGTTTTCCCAAACATCAGCAGGCGGAAGGCTAACCACCTGAGCCAGCAGACTGGGATTCTTCTCAAAGCGTCCTTGGGGAAGTACCCGGGTATTCCTGTGATCCATGGAAGAGTGACTAAGGAGAGATATCAACCTCTGTTGCTTCGCATCCAGAAGAAGTTGGCTCCATGGAAGGCGAAGCGCCTGTCTTTCGCGGCGCGCCTCACTATGGTGAAATCGGTTTCGTCCTCCATTCCTGTTTATAATATGAATACCGAGCTAATTCCGGTTGGTGTTTGCCACAGTATTGATAAATTGAACAGGGACTTTGTGTGGGCCGAAGAGGAGAACAAGTCGAGAATGCATCTGGTGGCATGGGAGAAAATGACGATGCCTAAGTGTCAGGGAGGAGTGGGAATCCGGCCTACACGACTCTCCAATCTTTCTATGCTAGCCAAAGGTGGGTGAAGCCTTATAAAAGAGAAAGAGACTCTCTGGGCCCACATCATGCGTTCCAAGTACGGCTGTCAAAGAGAAAACCTGGATATCCTTCGCCCATCTCAGGGAAGCTCCTTTACTTGGCACAGCTTTACCAAAGCTGCTCATCTGTTGCGGAAAGGCAATGCTTGGAACATTAAGAATGGGAAGTCTACTAAATTTTGGTTGGATCCATGGGTTTTGCAGGGAGCTCTCAAGGAGGTGGCGGTGGACCAAATCCCGGGGCACCTGGAGCATGCCACGGTTGTGGACCTCATGACGGAAGACGGGAGCTGGTGTACGGAGCTGTTTGAGGAGCTGTTGCCGGTTGATGTTTACCAGAAGATTTTGAGCGTTGCTGTAGATACTCTAGCTCCGGATGAGGACACTCTTTTCTGGACGGCCTCTTCGGATGGGAGGTTTTCCACTAAGACTGCCTACAGTCTCCTCAACCAGCACCCTCAAGACCCTGATGAGAGGCTTTGGAAGGCGATATGGAGGCTCCTGGTCCCGGAAAGGGTGCGTAGCTTCACTTGGCTCGTTTGTCTTGGCAAAATAGCTACAAACTCCCTGCGTTGTCAAAGAAAGATAGCGGCAAATCCATTCTGTCAGAAATGTCAGGGGGTGACTGAGTCGATCCTGCACATGGCCAGGGATTGCCCGGCGGCGAGCTTCTTCTGGTCCCGGCATGTACCAGTGGCGCAGCAGCACGTTTTCTTCAGCCTCGGGTAGGACCTTTGGTTCAGAAACAATATCTTGAGTTCCGTCACTATGGATTCCGGGATGCCGTGGGCGGCGTTCTTCAGCATAGCGGTTTGGTTAATCTGGCAGAACCGATGTCTGTTTTGCCTCAAAGGAGTTGGGGCCTCCCTTTCTCCTCCTTCCCTGGAGCATTCCATCATGGCGAAGACCCAGATGTGGCACGAGGTGTGGCTCGCTTCCACTCTCCTCTCCGCCAACAGTGATCATCCGGCTGCTAGAGTGGAGGCGGAAGTCGGTTGGAGCCCCCCGCCTGAGGGTTGGACCACCCTCAACACCGATGGGGCGTCTAATGGTAATCCGGGCCCGGCCGATGCTGGTGGAGTTATTCGCGACTCGTTGGGTCACTGGGTGGCTGGCTTTGTCGCTAACATTGGCAGCGCTACAACGGTCCTCTCTAAGCTTTGGGCTATCATGTACGGGCTCGATTTGGCTTGGAATAATGGGTGCAGGACTCTGCAGGTGGAGACAGACTCAAGTTAGCTATTCAGTTGATCAACTCGAGAGATGACCCGATTCACCCTTATGCTACTATCCTCTCCGCGATCCGCAGGAAGCTTGGTCGGGACTGGTTGGTTCGCATTACTCATATCTACAGGGAAGGGAATAGAGTCGCGGACTGGCTCTCGAAGCACAGTCTCGTCTATCCCTACGGTAGGTATGAGTTGGCGAATCCGCCGGTGGGTGTCGGCCCAATTCTTCAGGATGACTATAGAGGTGTGACCACTACTCGTAGGGTGGTTGCCCGTCCTCCTTCCTTTTCTCCTCCTCTCCTCGTGTAACCTTCTCCCTTCTTGGCCTCGGCCTCCTGTTCACGCAAAATATATATATATATATATATATATATATATACATCCAAGCCACCCACAATTTACCTCCTGCAACATTAAAAGCCAGATTATCCTGGCATAACAAGCAATCCAAATATTTAAATCATGAAAACCAAGGTCCTTCTTCTCTCTTAAATAATGTCATTCTATACTAGGCTACCTTAACTCTTCATGTTTCTGTACCATGTCAAATAAAGTCATTAGAGACTTCTGAAGTTTTATAAGTACCCTCTTTGGCAAAATAAAAACATTCATCAAATAGTTAAGGTCTCATAAAGACCGGTAGAATCCTATCTGTATATGATAACTGTTTTTCGAAAAATCCTAAACCAGGTGAAAACTTCAAACAAACGTATTTTTGTGTTCGATATCAGATCGTCGCGATT